AAACGGTATGAGTTGATTGTGGTCGAAAGAGGGAAAAAAACGTTTGCTGTTGACGCAAATAACACGGGGCTACTTGATAGGAGCAGTTTTGGGCGGTTTGCTTATGCGAATGGGCGCACTGTTCTCTGATTGGTTTGAAGTCGACTTAACTTCTATAAGCCCCACCCCCTGTTTTTATATATAATTGCAGTAGAATGTGAAGCTTACACTAAACACTCAAGACATTCACAGGGTTCACTAGGTGAAATGGTTGTTCTGGTCAAACCAAGTCCTCAGTTGGGCAGCAAAGCAATGGATGGAAATCAGCACAAAGTTGAGGCCAATGTTCTGCTGCTTGGAGCAGAAAATGTTGGGAAGTCAGGTGAGCACAAAACTGAACTTGACTTTGAATGCAGAGAATTCTGTCATGTTTATATGGTCTATTTGTTAAGCTTGCAAATAATAATATATTATATTTATTTGTTTGCAGCCCTCACTGTGCGATTTCTCACCAGAAGGTTCATCGGAGAATATGGGGATATCGGTATGTCAAGTGAGATTTACTATAATACCATTCATAATAACATACAAGCTATATGTTGTTTATGAACGATGAGTATTTATTAATTTCACTATGCTCTCTTTCAGAATCAATATACAGTCATATCGACAAAACAGATGGGCGAGAGATAGCCTTAAACATTTGGGACTCACTGTATCCACAGGTATGTGTATTTTGTTTGAAATATTTGTGCTTCAATATTAGAATGTATGAAGAGGCCAAATTGTGAGATAAAAATTCATTTATACAGTTTTTTTGCATCATGCTTTCCTGTTCAAGTTAGTAAGTGTGATTTGACCCTCTAAATCCTGTCACCTCCAGAGCTGCGAAACAACTGAATCCATCAGTGACAAGCAGCTGCAGTGGGCAGACGGTGTGATCCTGGTCTACAGCATCTGTGATCGCTCCAGCTTTGAGGTGGTCCGGCAACAGGTGCAGCTCATCCGGCAGACTAGGAAGCTGCCTGCATCTGCCCCGATCATCATCGTGGGGAACAAGCAAGACCTGCTGCATCAGAGAGCCGTGTCGAGCGAGGAGGGCAGACTGTTCGCCCTCTCGGCAGACTGCGGCTTCTTCGAGATCTCAGCGGCTGAAACCTACCACGGTGTGCTGCTGGTTTTTCACGAAATCCTGGACCTCATCAAGGAGTCCAGAGCACTTAAAAAGGGGATGGTCGGAATCATGGGTATAGTCAGAAGTGTGTCCGCAGTGTTTGGAAAGAAACGCGAGTGAAGAACTGTCGAAGATGATGAGCAAGATGAAGATATGGGGCCCCTGGCAGCCTAGCATCTAAATAGCTGAGGAGAGGACCCCGGCCGATGGGTTTTTGGGGCCGAAGGGAGTCACTTTCACCTTATTAACCTTCATGGATGGTGGAAGGAAAAAGAGTAAAAAGAGAGCATGTTAGAAGTTCAGAGCCCAGCTTTATGGTGAAGAAAAGTAGATGAAGTTTGTTACAGCAAGGTGATAAAAGATATGCTGAAGATAAGTGATCCTGGGCTTTGATGCAAGTTGGTCACTGGGTATGTGTATCAAAATGAACCAAGAGACAGTCCGGATCTGTTGTAGTCCTTGCCATTTGTCACAGAATGATTCTTCAGCTCTGAACAGATGATTTAGACAAATTCAAGTGAGCTTCTGCTTTGGATTACAGATGCCTGAAATGTAGAGATGGACTGAATTGTTCCATTATGAGTCTCCACTGACATTTAGATCTGAATTATTAAATGTGGGAATTGGGAGGAGACTATGTGTAGTAAAATGTATATAGATATTTTATAT